TTCAGCCCTCGATGCCTTTCACCGAAAGTGAAAACGACAGTCCTGCGATAAGTTCCAGGGCTCGGTTGTCCTCCTTTGCATCTGGGCACGCAACATCTGGGCACGGTGTATGAGAGGCGGGCCTTCCTTTCTCGGTGGGGAGGTCTGCCGAGCCGTTTGCAGTCACGCTGCGGGTGTGATTTTTGTGTCCTGCCCCGAGAGCGTTCGGCCTCAACAGGGCTGCTGGGCTATGCAGGCTCTGGGGGAAGAAATGGAGATCTTTGTCCGTATTGTCCTCTGGCCCGTCTTTGGAAATGAGAGATGTGATTATCCTGCGTTGCGACAGGGCCCTTTGGTGCACAAGGCGGCCGTCACTTTCTCCGTTGGTGTGGTGGTGGTCAGGGAAAGGGAGGTTGGCTCTCTCCGACTCTCTGGACATCCCTTTCAGTCTCTGTGGCTGGTAGCCACTGGTGGACCTCTCCTCCACGGATCTGCCTGACCTTCTTTTGAAGCTGTCTCTGCCTGTGGCCGTCACAGCATCCTCTGGCTTCACATTCCCCATTTGGATCGCTCTCTGCGTAAAGTAGTGTTTCCCTTTTCTCCATCCTGAACCGACTGCCTGTTGGGTGCCCTCGAGTTTCTAGTCTTTTGGGAGAGGGAGAAGAAGGTCCTCTTGGTCAGCTCTCTCCACTCTGTGTGTAGCTGTGGGAAATGAGACGTTCCCGGTCTCCTCAGCCTCGCCTCGTAGAGAAGGCGCTCCAACCCCCTTCATTGCCTTGGTTGTTCTTTGTTGTACGTCTTCCTGCTGTGCGATCTCTCTTCTGAGATAGGGTGACCAGGACTGCAGTATCCTGATCGAGGCCGCCGCGCCGATGCTCCTGCTGAGCTGTGGAGTCTTGTGAGCAAAAGTTCTACTTTGTGAGCTACTGGCATTAAAGTTGTGAGCCAGCGATTTGGCCGCTGCATAAATTAGTTTGCTCTGGAGCAATGTCATCCTTCCTGAGCTAAGACAAAAATGTGTGAGCCGGAGGCTACAAAACTGTGAGCTAGCTCACACTAACTCAGCTTAGAGGGAACACTGCTCTGGAGCCGTCCTTCCTGAGCAAAGACAAAAATGTGTGCCCCGGAGGCTAAAAAACTGTGAGCTAGCTCACACTAACTCAGCTTAGAGGGAACACCGCCCCCCACCACCGATCGGTACAGGGACATGACAGCATTGGCTGTTTTATTTTCAGCCCCTTTCCTAACAATCCCCAGGATAGAGTTTGCCTCTTTCATCGCCGCTGCCACGCACTGAGTCAACATTTTGACTTCTTCATTGCGCAATCCGCCACACCCCCCAGGATCTGTCTGCTCTGCTGGTTCGGAGCCGTCAGCAGATATTTAAAGTTCAGGTTTATTTTTATTTTATTTTTGCTACGCTGAGCTTCCTTTGCCATGTTTCTGCCCATTTGCTTAATGCGGAGAAACCTCTCTGAAGCTCCTCGCCATCCACCTTGGTTTTCACCATCCTGAATACTTTGGTATCCTCCACAAACCTGGCCGTTATTTTTTTTAATTTTTATTTATTTATTTATTTATTCAATTTCTATACCGCTCCATCCCGGAGGCTCTGAGCGGTTTACATGGGCATTTTATAACTCCTAGCTAGGGCCACACAATGTATAGGGAAGATGAGTGCCTACCAGGCACCCCGCCGGCTTTTGTTATTTTTCTTCCTGCGACTTCCTCGTGGTGGGTCCTGTCTTGGCGCGGCTCCTTCTGGGGTAGTTCCACAGTTCGCGACTGTGCAACGACTGCTGCAACGACCTCCGTCCGATTGGTTCCGGCTATGCTGCGTCGCTGCGTTAACAGTGCTCGCTCCCAAGATTAGTTAAATAGCGCCGGCCCCAATCCTGATATTTGTGGGACCCCCACTGCTCGCTTGTCTCCATTGCCAGAACTGTCTCACGGATTCCCCCTCTCGCTGTCTTGTGGTTTAACACCTTCCTAAGGAGACCTATCCTCTTACCTCATGACTGCTACGTCTGCTCAGATGAGGCACTTTGTAAAATCCCCTTTTGAAAGTCCAAGTATATCGTGGCCGCTGGATTGCTCTTAGCCGCATGTTTCTTAACCTCTTTAGAAGAAGAAGAGGAGGAGAGATTGGATTTATACCCCGCCCTTCACTGGTCAAAGCAATGGTATTCCCAGTAGTCTTGTATGGCTGCGAGAGTTGGACTAGAAGGAAGGCCGAGCGCCGAAGAATAGATTCTTTTGAACTATGGTGCTGGAGAAGACTCTTGAGAGTCCCTTGGACTGCAAGAAGATCAAATCAGTCAATCCTAGAAGAAATCAACCCTGGCTGTTCCCTGGAAGGCCAGATAATGAAACTGAAGCTCAAATACTTTGGCCACCCAATGAGAAGGGAGCCCTCACTGGAGAAGAAGGCCCTGATGCTGGGAAAGATTGAAGGTCAAAGAAGACGGGGACGGCAAAGGATGAGATGGTTGGACAGTGTCATCGATGCAACGAACATGAAATTGAGCCAACTTCAGAGGACGGCGGAAGACAGGAAGGCCTGGCGGGATCTGGCCCATGGGGTCGCGAAGAGTCGGACTCGACTGTGCGACTGAACAACAACTTCACTACCCAAAGGAGTCTCAGAGCGGCTTACAAACTCAGGGTTGCCACTTTCGGGAAAGTCAGGGAAATGAGAATTGGTCAGGGAAAGTCAGGGAGATTGTGATTAAAATAGATTCAAGCCGTGGGTTTTTGACCTGCCACTGCAAGAGCCTGATTCTGTTCTTGTGGCAACTGGAATAGAGAAGGAGCAGAACACAAGTGGAACTCAATGATGCCCTTTCCCAGCTGTTGTAGACAGAACGTTTATATAATTTTTAGTGTACCTTTCAAACAATAACAAAAATGTTATGTCATTTGTTAGCATTCAGAGTTTGCTTGAATTGAAATTTGTATCTCGGTGTAATTTTTGGTGCAATTGCAAAACATGTCGCTGCAGTGAATGTTGAAAGATGCTGATGTTAAATCTCTTTGACAAATATTTTTGCAGTTGAGACTTGTGTAGTTGTAGAGTGGAGCCTTACCTTGCATTAATGCAATACGAGTCCAGTGTTCCCTCTAAGCTAAGTTAGTGTGAGCTAGCTCACAGTTTTTTAGCTTCCGGCTCACACATTCTTGTCTTAGCTCGGGAAGGATGGCTCCGGGGCAAACTAATTTACACAGTAGCCAAATAGCTCGCTCACAACTTTCATGCCAGTAGCTCACAAAGTAGAATTTTTGCTCACAACACAGCTTAGAGGGAGCATCAACCTATTTCTTTTTTAACTTGTGGTTATATTTGAATGGTGGTCAGGGAAATTGACAAATGTTGGTCAGGGAAACGAAAAATAAAATTGTAGTGGCAACCCTGAAACTCCTTTCCCTTCCCCTCCCCGCAACAGACACCCTGCAAGGTAGGTGGGGGCTGAGAGAGCTCTTGACAGAAATGGCTCTTTTTCAAGGACAGCTCTGACAGAAGCATGGCTTGCCCCAGGTCATCCAGCAGCTGCGAGTGGAGGAGGAGTGGGGGAATCAAACCCGGTTCTCCCAGATTAGAGTCCGCACACTTAACCACGACGCCAAACTGGCTCTAATAAGAAGCTTCAGCTGATTCACCTGGGTCAGAAGTTAGGCTCCGTGGCCTGCAATTCTCTGTATCTCCTCTCGACTCCTTTATAAAATTTGGGTGGACCGCAGCCACTTACTTCCCAGCCGCCTGGCACTGAGGCTGATTTTAGTGGCGAGTTACGTGGATGGTTAGTTTCAGAGGGCATCCCTGCGGGCATCCAGAACTAGCCTCGAGCAGCGTTCCCCCTACGCTGAGGTAGTGTGAGCTAGCTCAGAGTTTTTTAAGCCTCCGGCTCACACATTTTCCTCTCAGCTCAGGAAGGAGGGCTCCAGGGCAAACTGATTTATGCAGCAGCCCAATCGCTCGCTCGCCACTTTCATGCCAGTCGCTCACAAAGGAGAATTTTTGCTCACAAGACTCCACAGCTTAGAGAAGAAGAAGAGATTGGCTTTATACCCCGCCCTTCACTTGGAGTCTCAGAGGGGCTCACAAACTCCTTTCCCTCCCCCTCCCCACAACAGACACCCTGTGAGGTGGGTGGGGCTGAGAGAGCTCTTGACAGAAACTGCTCTTTTTCAATGACAGCTCTTGTCAGAACTAGTGACTGACCCAAGGTCACATCAGCAGGTGCAAGTGGAGGAGTGGGGAATCAAACCCAGTTCTCCCAGATTAGAGTCCGCAGGGAGCATTGGTCTCGAGTCCAGGAGCACCTCAGACACTCAGAAGCTGCCCCCGAAATCTGGTTGTTGTCTTAAGGTGAAAAAGTTGGTCTCTTTGGAAAAAATACACTTCCCCTCTAAGGCTGTCCAATGGTTCTGTCCAGGAGAGGGGCTCCGTCCAGTGTTCCCTCTCAGCTGAGTTAGCGTGAGCCAGCTCACAGTTTTTTAAGCCTCCGGCTCACACGTTTCTGTCTCGGCTAAGGAAGGGATGCGGCTCCGGAGCAGACTGATTTGCGCAGTGGCCCAGTCGCTCGCTCACAACGTCAATGCTAGTGGCTCGCAAAGTGGGATTTTTGCTCACAGCGTAGAGGGAGCATTTGGCCCCATCCCGTGCGAAAAGTGCTCTCGGATCTTCGGGCTTCTCGGCTGAAGAGCTGGTCCCATCCAAAGGGAGGGGGAGTTGGGAGCCGGACTCCTGCGTTCCCTTTCCTGTCTCTTCAGCCCCGGAGGGTAGCCAGGAAGCCCGCCGGTCACGTGACCCCTTGCCGCTTTTGCAAAATATCCGGAGAGGAAGCCAGAGAGTGAGCGGGGGTGGGCCTGTCTGGGGAAATGCTGACGGGGTGGGAAGGGAAACCACGGCTCTCCCGCGTTGGGGGTTGCAGCTGATCTAATCCCCGGTCTTTCTTCGCCCCCCCCAAGACTGCAGGAGCCCCGACAGTTCTTCTCTCAGCTCATCTCCTCCGCTGCTGGGCACAGGAACCTCCCCCCCGCCTGAGCCTTTGGCCCCCCTCCACCCTTCTATGATCGGCTCGGCCATGACCACCTCCCTCGGTGGGCTGGGCTCCCCGTTCCCCGTCATCAGCTCCTCGATGGGCTCCCCGGGCCTCCCCGCCACGCCCTCCATCGGTTACGGGCCCGTCAGCAGCCCCCAGGTAAGCACACACCCCACCCCTGCCAGCTGGGGGGTCGCGCTTGGGAAGGCGGTGCGGGAGGGGCTCCCCGGGTGTGCCCGTCGGGCTCCTTCACAGCTCCCCCCCTCCTCTACCTGCCCAGATCAACTCCACGGTGAACCTCTCGGGACTCCATTCGGTCAGCAGCTCGGACGACGTCAAACCCCCGCTGGGCATGAGAGTGGTGTCTGGCCACGCCCACGGCAACATGATGCCCGGCAAGCGCCTCTGTGCCATCTGTGGTGACCGGTCGTCAGGTGCGCGGGCGCGCTCGGAGCCAGGAGCCGGCGTGTCGGGGTGCTCGGGGGGGAGAGAAGTGGGGTGCAGAGTTTGGAGGGGGTGGCTAAGGGGAGGGGGAGCCCAGGGTCCTTGGAGGGGGGTGGCTGGGGTGGCCCGCCCGCAGAGGTGGGGCTGCTGTGAGCCCGGCTGCTCAGTCCCTGCCTTCCTCCCGGCCGGCCCTCCCTCGGTCCCGCAGGGAAGCACTACGGGGTGTACAGCTGCGAAGGCTGCAAGGGGTTCTTCAAGCGCACCATCCGGAAGGACCTGACCTACACCTGCCGCGACAACAAGGACTGCGTCGTGGACAAGCGCCAGCGCAACCGCTGCCAGTACTGCCGCTACCAGAAATGCCTGGCCACCGGCATGAAGCGCGAAGGTAGCGGGCGGCGGGGGTGCAGCTAGGGCTAATCCGGGGGGGGAGGCGGCTGGGGCACAGGCCACCCCGCCTGGGACTCGCAGGGGGGCGGCCAGCCTGGCTGGGGGGGCGGCAGTGTGGCTGGGGGGGCGGCCACCACACACGCTCCTCGCTGTGTCGGCAGGCTCAGCGCCTCGGAGAAGAATAAAGGTCCCTCTCTGCTGGGGCCCCTGGAGAGCAAGGGTGGGCGGCTGCTAGGCCCCGCCACTCGGAAAGGTCCCTCCTCAGGAAGCAGTGGCAGCGGTTGATCTCTGTGCTCGTCCTCCTCCCGCCGCGGAGTCCCCCGCTGGTGCTTCCCTCGGCCCCCGGGCTCGGAGGGAGCAGCAGCGGTGGGCGTTGCCTTGCTCCCCCCCGTGAGGTGGCACGGGCTGCTCTTCGTGCCCCTCTTGCCTTTGGGAGGCTGCTGCCATCCTTTGGCAAGAGGGAGAGGCGGAGAGCTGCCCGTGCAGCCTGGTTCGTCGTTGGCCTTTCTCTGGGCCATGTCCTCTGCCAGAGAGAACGAGAGTGGGGAGTGTGTCTTCATTCAGCTGGCCGCTTGGCCTCTTCGGTCCTTTCTGCACTTGGATCTCATCCTTGGTTTTGTCAGAATTCAACTCACGACACAAATACCGTACCTCGCATTTTTGCCTGGTTATAACAGCATCTGGTGGGGCGAAACCGGAATGACCCCAATGTAATGTGGAAACAAAAACTGCCCCAAGATAATTAAAGGGGTGAACTCAGGTGTAGTGTAGAATGTAAAAATACCCCGAGATAATTATAGGGGTGAGTTCGGGTATAGTGTAGAATGTAAAAATACCCTGAGATAAGTACAGGGGTGAATTCGGGTGTAGTGTAGAATGTAAAAATACCCTGAGATAAGTACGGGGGTGAAGTCGAGTATATAGAATGTAAAAATACCCCGAGATACTTACAGGGGTGAACTCGAGTGTAGTGTAGAATGTAAAAATACCCCGAGATAATTATAGGGGTGAGTTCGGGTATAGTGTAGAATGTAAAAATACCCTGAGATAATTACAGGGGTGAACTTGAGTGTACCCCAAGATAATTACAGTGGGTGAAGTCGAGTATATAGAATGTAAAAATATCCCGAGATACTTACAGGGGTGAACTCGAATGTAGTGTAGAATGTAAAAATACCCCAAGATAATTACAGGGGTGAACTCGAGTGTAGTGTAGAATGTAAAAATACCCCGAGATAATTACGGGGGTGAACTTGAGTGTAGTGTAGAATATAAAAATACCCCGAGATTATTACGGGGTGAAGTCGAAAGTAGTGTAGAATGTAAAAATACCCCGAGATAATTACAGGGGTGAACTCGCATGTAGTGTAGAATGTAAAAATACCCCGGGATAATTACAGGGGTGAACTCGCATGTAGTATAGAATGTAAAGATACCCCGAGATAATTACAGGGGTGAACTCGCGTAGTGTAGAATTTAAGTTCAGGGACAGGGTTGAACCAGGATTTAAGCTCTAGTGCGGAAAGGACCTTCGTGGGCCAGCAGTTGCCCTGTTTCTCCCATACACTTTACTCTTACTTCTTTCTGTGGGGTGGGGTGGGGGTGCCAGGCTGGGCCGCCGTCCTGTCTCTAACCGCCTCCTCTCTCCCCCCACCCACCCACCCCGTGCGCCCAGCGGTGCAAGAGGAGCGCCAGCGCGGCAAGGACAAGGAAGGGGAGGGTGACTTGCCTGGGGGCGGGGCCAACGAGGACATGCCCGTGGAGAAGATCCTGGAAGCCGAACTGGCCGTGGAGCAGAAGTCGGACCAGAGCGTCGACGGATCCGGCACGGGGGGCAGCTCGGTGAGTTGGGGGTGTGGTGCTGCGGGATCAGAACGCTCACCCCGGACCTTTGACGCCAACGAGGTAAATATCGAAAGGGGCGGCAGAAATCCTTAACGGGGGTGGGTGGGGGAGTCGCTGTGGGTCGAGGGTGCTGTGGGTGTCTCTAGCAGGGTTGGGGCAGAGGGATCCAGGCCAGCTTGCAGAGCGAACGGCTCCACGGAGCTGGGCGGTCAGCTGGCGAGGGGCTTGGGCGGGCAGAGGGAAGGGGCGGAGAGCAGCCCTGGTGCCGGGGGTTCGTGTAATTCCCGCCCGCATGCGTGCCACCCACCTGCCCGTCTGCCTCTCTTCCCTCCAGCCAAATGACCCCGTGACCAACATCTGCCAGGCGGCTGACAAGCAGCTCTTCACCTTGGTGGAGTGGGCCAAGCGCATCCCCCACTTCTCGGAGCTGCCCCTCGATGACCAGGTCATACTGCTTCGGGCGGGTGAGTCCTGGGTATGGGGGGCCGGCCCGTAGCTTCGGTGGGGCTTTGGGGGGCACTGCCCCCTTTCTTAAAGGCGTGGGCCCACAAGAATTTCTCCTGTAAATGCTTTTTGAAGTCATTTTAAAACTTTTTTTATGGCGTACGCTCCTTTAAGCAGAGTGTGGTGCTGTAGTTGACTATTTCCCGCATTGAGCAAGGGGGTTGGAGTAGGTGACCTCTAGGATCCTTTCTAACTCTGTCAAGAAACTGGTTTCCTTTAAGAGAGTTTTCCTACCTTGGTGTTAGCGTTATTGACTGTAGAAGTCACCACCATCACCTGCCGGCTTGTTCTCAGGATTGTTGCTTAGGCTGGCAGAAGTAGAGATGTGAAGGCCCGGAAAAAACCCGGAAAAATTCAGGGGGAAACCGTTTCCCCCCCGTTTTTTTCCTGAAGCCTTTTTTGTTTTTTCCCCGAAAAATTGAAAAAAGAAAAGGGGAAAAATTGATTATGGAACGTTTTATTTTAACATGAATAAAATATTTTAAGACAAGGAGTCCCGGGACTAAATAGAGGGAGAACACGGGGGCGTCCAATGAAGTTGCTGCACGTGAGATTCAGGGTGGATGAAAAGGAGCTATTCCTTTATACAACTAGCAGTTAAAATGTGGAAATCGCGGCCAGAGGAAGCAGTGATGGCCACAGGAATGGACAGCTTTAAAAGGGGATTAGACAGATTTTGGCGGAGGAGAGGTCTGTCAGTGGCTGTTAGCCCTGGTGACTGAGGGGAACCTCCACATTCAGAGGCACCGAGCCTCTGGATCCCAGAGCCAGGAGGCAACGTTAGGGGAATATCTCGGTCTCTGTGCCCTGTTGTTGGCCCTCCAGAGAAACTGATTGGTCACTGTGTGAGACAGGATGCTGATCTAGATGGGCCATTGGTCTGATCCAGCAGGGCTCTTCTGATGTTCTTATGGCGGCCTTGGGCTCTGTGCTCTGTTGTTAGTTCTCCAGAGGAACGGGCTGGCCTCTGTGTGAGACAGGATGCTGGACCAGAGTGACACTCACAAGTCTGATCCTGCAGGGGTCTTCTTATGGCCTCATAGGGAACCTCTGCGTTCAGAGCCTCTAAACCTCTGAATCCCCAGAGCCAAGAGGCAGCATCAGGGGAAGGCCTGGGCCTCTCTGCCCTGTTGTTGGCCCTCTAGAGAGAAACTGGCTGGCCCCCATGTGAGATAGGAGGCTGGATTAAATGGGTTCTCACCAGTCTGATCCAGCGGGGTCCTTCTGATGTTCTTAAGAGCCCTCATCAGAACGAGGGCTGGGGTGCCTTGTGGCGGAACTGACCTGCTCTGGCCTGTATGCCCTTTTTGGCCCTTCCCTCCTAGGTTTTTCTCAACAACTGGAGAGGCTTCCACTCTCAGATAGCCCTCCGCCACCATCTGACCTTTTGCAGGGATTTCCCACTGGGAGGGTCAGGTCTCCCAGGTTCCCTTCCAAGTTCCGAGGCCTTGCCTCTGTGTCTCCCGCTGCCCAGCACCTGGTTCGCCACAGGGGGACAGTTCACTTGCCTGGCATGTCCCTGGAGGAATAGCCACTTGCCAACTGCATGCCTTCCCCTGGCGCTCGTTTTAAAATAGTGTGTCCAAAACAGTGAAGGTCTACATGGTACAGAGAACCACTACCAGCATCAAAAGTTATAAAGTATTTATTAAATAGAAAATGTCTACATGCATACTTTTAGCACAGCACCAGATTGAGCAAGGAATTCAAAAGAAATGGATAAAATGTAAATCATAGAATCATAGAATGTTAGAGTTGGAAGGGACCTTACAGGTCATCTAGTCCAACCCCCTGCACTCTGCAGGAGCATAGCCGAACAATAGCCCTACATACCTACAACATCCCCGAAAGATGGTCGTCCAGCCTCCGCTTGAAAACGTCCAGCAAAGGAGCATCCACCACCTCCCGAGGCAGACTGTTCCACTGCTCAAGCAGTCCTTTGTGTGTGCGTGTGTACAAGCCTTATCAGATGTTAAAATACAGGTCAGGCTCTTTAGCTTAGAAGTTCTAGCTCTCTACAGAGTTTGCTTGAAGCTTTCTCCAGCTCTCCAGGCGAACGCATAGGGTGAAAATGGCTGCCTTCTCAGTGGAGAGGTCTGTCAGCTCTTGTGGATGCAGCACTCAAAAAAAGAGACCTCCTTTCCGCAGGAAGGAGTTTTTATCACTTCTCTTTTCCCCGCCCCCTGACCAGGTCACCTCAGGTCAAAAGAGGCTTTTTCTGGAGATCGCCAGGAATCTCCTTCCTGAAGACACTCTAGCATTCAACACTTCCAGATCTCTGTTCCCTGCTTGGAGGAAGGGGGAGATCTTGACCCACCCATAATCTCTCCTGCTAGCTCTGTTAGCATTTGTATGAAGGTGATCTGAGGTACATCTGGAAAGCAATTGAACCGAATACCTCCTCTTCATGCCTGTTCTCTGCCCGGAGTTCTCGCTTCAGACAGGCAGGCGGTGAGGTCCTTCTCGCAGAAGAGCTCCCTGTGTCCCAGTGAACATTTCTACCGAGAGACTTGAATTTGAAGCCCTGCCTTCAAGGTGCCCACTTGCCATGACAGGCAGCATTTGGACACTCGCGCAGGAGGGGTTTTCTGGTCCTGGGAAATAATTGTTTTGAGTCTCTCTTTTTTTTAAAATTACTTTTATTTTATAACGACAACAAACAAGCAAAGAAAAACCAAGACAAAACACATCTACAACACAAACGTAAAATAGGAGAATCTAACCATTAAGTATCGCTTAAATGTTCCCCTCTAATCACAAATACGTTTCTACACCTTAAACTGTTGATTTAAAAGTTCTGCACTTATTTCTATCAATGTCCTTATTATGCCCTTTATACTTTCTACTTCGGTTGTATGCAGGATTCATTTAACACATTCTTCAATCCGCCTGTAAAATCTTGACCATGTATTTTGAAAATTTTCCCTCTTTTTGTCCTTTCAGAAGTGAAGTCAGTTTGTCCATCTCTGCCGTTTCCAATAGTTTATTGATCGTTTCTTCTTTCGATGGTGTCTCTTTTCTTTTCCAGTATTTAGCATGTAATATTCTAGCAGTTGTAACAACATGTATACTCAGAGAAGAATCCTGCTTTCTACAATGTTCTTTTCTTTTTTGTTTAATCTATTTATTGGGTTTTCAATATGCTACCCACCATTTATAAATAACTATTTAGATATACAAACATATAGACAACACCCTCCTTCATAAAGTACCTATAAACATTAAATACACCAAAAATTCATTCCTTTTTCATACACCAAGAATCTTCAAAATCCTTTAAACTAATTTTCTATAACTCAATTTTAAACCCTATTTAGAATTTTTCTCCCTATATTTACCACAAGCTTCACTTATTCCCAGAAATACAACCCACCAACATAAATAGCTAAATCACTAAACATACAAACTGTCCATATCATAATACAACCTATGCCATAAATTCGTTTTTAGCAAAAATCCACACAACAAATCAAACTAGTTACCTAAAAGCCTATTTAAACCCCATTCATAATTTCCCTTCCCGTACATACATACAAGAAAAAACAAGACATAATTACTTTTCAGCTTGTATCAAAATCCGACCATCTACAATTTTCTTGAACAGTGTTTTGAGTCTTCACGTATCTTTGGGCCCGGGAAGCAGTGTGTGTGTGGGGTGAGAAGTGTTTACCCTGCACTTTGCCTTGAGCATTTTTGCCCAGCTTTCTAGAGGTGAGGGACACCAGTGTGTGCGTGCGTGTGGGGGGGTTTAGCCACTCTGGGCTGTGGAGACGGCTGCCCCTTTGCCCCCGCCCCTGTGCCCTGCGTGTCTTCCTGCAGTCGGGCGGCAGAGAAACGGGCCCTGTTTGTTTATTTTATTTTTGGTCAGATGTGTACCCCGCCCTCCCTGCAGAGCAGGCTCAGGGCGGCCTCTGAGTCACATAAATACGTAATGAAACATGCATCATTAAAACACAACAGTTAAAAATAACGCAACACAAAGCGCTGGCAGCGATTAAAGATCCAGTTAGATGGAATGCCTTCAAGTGGCTTTCCGACAGTACTAGATGTTCTTCTGCTCGCCGGCTCTCCTGGCAGTGGCTCGATGGTAAAATTATGGGCCGGGCGCCACAGTGGCGGCCAGTGTTCCCTCTAAGCTGAGTTAGTGTGAGCCAGCTCACAGTTTTTTAGCCTCTGGCTCACAGGTTTTTGTCTTAGCTCAGGAAGGAGGGCTCCAGAGCAAACTAATTTATGCAGCAGCCAAATCTCTCACTCACAACTTTAATGCTGGTAGCTCACAAAGTAGAATTTTTGCTCACAGGACTCCACAGCTTAGAGGGAACATTGGTGGCGGCGGCCCCTAATTGTATGCCTGGTGGAAGAGAAGAACAAGAAGAGGAGATTGGATTTATACCCCGCCCTTCACTTGGAGTCTCAGAGCGACTTACAAACTCCTTTCCCTTCCCCTCCCCACAACAGACACCCTGTGAGGTGGGTGGGGCTGAGAGAGCTCTGACACAAATGGCTCTTTCAGGAACAGCTGTGCCAGAGCTTGTGACTGACCCAAGGTCACATCAGCAGGTGCAAGTGGAGGAGTGGGGAAGTCAAACCCAGTTCTCCCAGATTAGAGTCCGCACACTTAACCACTATACCAAACTGGCTCTGTCTTGCAGCCCCTGCGGAACTGTGAGAGGTCCCGCGGGGCCCTGATCTCCTCCGGGAGCTCGTTCCTCCAGGTAGGGGCCACCACCGAGAAGGCCCCGGCCCTGGTAGTAGCTAGCCTGGCCTCCCTCAGGCCAGGGAGGGTCAGCCGGGTTTGAGACCCAGACCGTAGTGCCCTCTGGGGTATATGCAGGGAAAGGAGGTCCCGTAGGTATGTTGGACCCCGGCCAGATAGGGCTTTAAAGGTAAGAACCAGCACCTTGAAGCGGATTCGGTACGCTATTGCGGGAGAAGCCCCCTTGGGGTTGTGCGGACGGGACGGCCCCTGCTCTCGGACTCACTCGGCGGCTTCTCTCTCTCTCTCTCTCTGCAGGTTGGAACGAACTGCTGATCGCCTCCTTCTCCCACCGCTCCATCTCGGTGAAGGACGGGATCTTGCTGGCCACGGGGCTCCACGTCCATCGCAACAGTGCCCACAGTGCCGGCGTGGGCGCCATCTTTGACAGGTGCCGGAACAGGGAAGAGAGCCGATGGGGGGGGGGGAAGAGGGCCGAGGGGGAATCCGGCCGGGGAGCACTGAGAGCCAGATTGTCTCCTCCCCGGCCACTGGGCCCTTCCCCCGTTGTTTCCCTGGGCTAGGAGCAGTGTTCCCTCTAAGCCGAGTCAGTGCGAGGCGGCTCACAGTTCTTTAGCCTCCGGCTCACACATTTTCATCTTCGCTCAGGAAGGGTGGCTCCAGAGCAGACTGATTTATGCAGTGGCCAAATCGCCCGCTCACAACTGTAATGCCGACAGCTCACCAAGTAGGATTTTTGCTCACAGGACTCCACAGCTTAGAGCAGGGGTGTCAGACATGCGGCCCAGGGGCCGGATTAGGCCCCCGGATTGGGCTTCCATCAGGCCCGCGGTGGAACTGGCCCATCTCCCGCTTCCAGTTCTGCTGCTGCTGCTGCATCATAGCTTGCTTCGCCAGACTCTCTCAATCGCTCCGCCGTTTCATGTTTTAATGTGGGTCCTAGACTCAGAACTCTGAGCCTGAGATTTCCGTGGTGAATGTCAATCAATCAAAAGCACAGAGCTAATGTTTTAAGCATGTTTTTATTTTAAGTTAAAAAAAATCTTTGTGTTTGTGTCCTTTATAAAGTTTATCTCTCCGCTACCTGGCTTTACATTTTATGGCCTGGCCCAGCAAGGTCTCATTTGTGTCAGATCCGGCCCTCAGAACAAATGAGTTCCACCCCCTGACTTAGAGGGAGCATTGGTTAGGAGACAGGTGCGTCCGAGGCCCTTAGAAGAAGAGATTGGATTCATGCCCTGCCCTTCACTCAGAGTCTCAGAGCGGCTTACAATCTCCTTTCCCTTCCCCTCCCCACAACAGACACCCTGTGAGGTCGGCGGGGCTGAGAGAGCTCTCTCGAGGACTGTCCTAGAGAGAACTGCTCTGAAAGAACCTGTGACTGACCCAAGGTCGCCCAGCTGGCTGCATGTGGAGGAGTGGGGAATCAAACCCAGTTCTTCTCCGGATTGGAGTCCGTTGCTCTTAACCACGACACCAAACAGGCCACATCAGAGATTGCTCCGGAGTGGCATCATGCTGGGGTGAAGAGCATGCCACAGTGCCGTGGGGTGTGTCGGCTGCAGAGGGAGGGGAGAGCCGTGAAGCTGTCCGTGGCTCTCTCCCCGCTCCGTTCTTGAGACCCCCGACTCAACGTTCCGTGCCGCACCTCCCTTGGGGCAAGGCCAGGAGGCGCCGGCCCCCAGAACCCTTCCAGAAATCCTTCCCTCTTTCTCCCTCTGCATCTGAGAGTGCTGGGGCCCTCGCTGGCCGCTCGCTTTCCTAGAAGCACAGAAAGAGCCACGGTCCGGCAGCCAACGCTTGCACGGTGCGGGTGCGAAACACGTGCCTGAAGGCCAAAGGTTGGCTCCTGGATTGGAAAAGCCAGGGGAGGTGGGGAAGGGAGTAAAGTGGGGAGGGAGCTGGTTGATCCGCTCGCCTGCCCCCCGCTGCCAATACACGCAGACATGGCCAGGAGCCCCGTCTCAGGGTCCTTAGTCAGGGCACACCACACAAGGCTTCTTCAGGAGATCAGTGTCCAGTACTAAAGATCTCAGGATGCCTTAACAGAAGCATCATGTCCAGATCACGGGAGGTGGTCATTCCACTCTGTTCTGCACTGGTCAGGCCTCACCTGGAGTCCTGTGTCCAGTTTTGGGCACCACATTTGAGGAAGGATGTTGACAAGCGCGAGCGTGTCCAGAAGAGGGCAACCAGGATGGTGAGAGGGTTGGAATCCAAGTCTTAGGAGGAAAGGCTGAAAGAGTTGGGTCTGTTTAGCCTGGGAAAGAGAAGGCTTAGAGGGGACAGGATTGCAGTCTTCAAGTATCTGAAGGGCTGTCACGTAGAAGACGGAGCAGATCTATTCTCTCTGGCTCCGGATTCCAAGACTAGATCTACTGGGTGGAAATTACAAGGGAGTCGTTACCGGCTAAATATCAGGAGAAACTTCCTGACTGTAAGAGTGGTTGAGCAGTGGAACAGACTGCCTCGGGAGGTGGTGGATGCGCCTTCGTTGGGCGTTTTCAAGCGGAGGCTCGATGACCATCTTTCGGGTATATTGTAGGTATGTAGGGCTATCTCTGAAGCTATGCTTCTGCAGAGTGCAGGGGGTTGGACTAGATGACCGGCAAGGTCCCTTCCAACTCTAACATTCTATGAAAAACATGTATACAGTTTGTGTCAGGAATAACAAACAATATAATGGCCCCTAATAGTGCAATCAACCCCCCCCCACCGTGAGCTGAAGCCAATGGATATGATTCACATGCACAGGCTGAAGCTAGCAAGCAAGCGGGCAAAGAGTAAAAGCCGTTCTCTTTCCCAGACGAGTTAATTGCAGCTGGGAACATCAACAAGGCCAAGCCAGAGACAGCACAAAGAAGCTGGACAGGGATGAGCTGGGAACGAGGAGGAGGTGCACCCCCCCACACACACATTCCAGGTCTATGATGGGGCTACCTGACACCCCTCTGCTTCCAATAGCTGACGCCCATGCTCCCTCTAAGCTGCCGGGCCTTGTGAGCAAAAATCCTACCTTGTGAGCTACCGGCATTAAAGTTGTGAGCGAGTGATTTGGCTGCTGTCTAAATGAATTTGCTCTGGAGCCCTCCTTCCTGAGCGAAGGCAAGAATGTGTGAGCCAGAGGCTAAAAACCTGTGAGCTGCCTCACACTCACTCAGCTTAGAGGGGCCACTGCTCTGGAGCCCTCCTTCCTGAGCGAAGGCAGAAAGGTGTGAGCCAGAGGCTAAAAAACTGTGAGCTGCCTCACACTTGCTCAGCTTAGAGGGAACACTGCTCTGGAGCTCTCCTTCCTGAGCGAAGGCAAAAAGGTGTGAGCCGGAGGCTAAAAACCTGTGAGCTGCCTCACACTCGCTCAGCTTAGAGGGAACACTGCTCTGGAGCCCTCCTTCCTGGGCGGAGACAAAGATGCGTGGGCTGGGGGCTAAAAACCTGTGAGCTGCCTCACACTGACTCAGCTTAGAGGGAACACTGCTCTGGAGCCCTCCTTCCTGGGCGGAGACAAAGATGCGTGGGCTGGGGGCTAAAAACCTGTGAGCTGCCTCACACTCCCTCAGCTTAGAGGGAACACTGCTCTGGAGCCCTCCTTCCTGAGCGAAGGCAAGAATGTGTGAGCCGGAGGCTAGAAAACGGTGAGCTGGCTCACGCTGCCTCAGCTTAGAGGGGACACTGGCTGACACCCGCCCCGGGTCTCCTCTGCAGGGTGTTGACAGAGCTGGTGTCGAAGATGCGGGACATGCGGATGGACAAGACAGAACTGGGCTGCCTCCGCGCCATCATCCTCTTCAACCCAGGTGAGGGAGGGAGGGAGGGGCTGCGGGAGAGGGTCCCTGCCCGGGTGGGTGTGTGTGACTCTTTTCTTCCCTGCGGAGGACAGTGTCTCGCAGTCGGCAGCTTTCTGGCCTTCCACAGGCGGGTGGGGAGGAGGGAGTCCGTCCCGCCTGGCCTTTCCCACCCATCCAGCTCGCCTCTCCTCTCCTCCCGCCCAGATGCCAAAGGGCTCTCGAACCCCGGAGACGTGGAGCTCCTGCGGGAGAAGGTATACGCCTCACTCGAGTCCTACTGCAAACAGAAGTACCCGGAACAGCAGGGCAGGTATGGATCCCGGGGCGGGGGGTGGGTGGCAAGCAAGAGCGGGGGGGGAGATTGCGGCGGGGCAGGGGGCTTAAATCCATTGGTCAGGGCTCAGTGGCCGAGCCTGCCCCCCTTTGCACATGGAAGTTCCCCAGCATCCTCCCCATTCAGGAGGCTCTCAGGGGCTGGGCTTGGAGAGGTGTTGTCAGCCAAAGCAGAGAGAGGGTAACTCAGAATAATCTAAGGAAATAGAGGAATAAATATAAATCTTGCATGACCTGGTGTGGTGGTGAAATGCCCGGTCTCTAATCTGGGAGAACCGGGTTTGATTCCCTACTCCTCCACTTGCACCTGGCTGGATGGCCTTGGGTCTGTCACAAGTTCTCTCAGAGCTGTCCTTGAAAAAGAGCAGTTTCTGTCACAGCTCTCTCAGCCACACCTACCTCACAGGGTGTCTGTTGTGGGGAGGGGAAGGGGAAGGAGTTTGTAAGCCACTCTGAGACTCCTTTGGGTAGTGAAGGGCAAGGGGTATAAATCCAATCTCCTCTTCTTCTTCTTCTTCTTGACATCAAATAAGGCTCCAAATATTTCTCAAATATACAAAATGCAAGGAATACAAAAAAAATACAATAGATAGGCTGGGGATTTAAAGCAATATCTGTAACATTTTCTATTTAACACTTATTTATTTTATTTTTTCGCATTTCCCGCCCATCCCATAAGCGGGTTCAGGGCGGGTTACAGCATTCTAATAAATACAATAAAATTTGAAACACATTAAAACGTATAAGACCTCTATCGATTATGGGTAGAATTGCAGCCATTAAAATGAATATACTACAGAGATTTCTATTTTTGGCGCAAAAATTTCCTATTCTAAAGAACCAGAAAGTTTTTAAGGAACTAGATAAAATTACCAAAAAATTTGTATGGCACCCCAAAAAAGCTAGAATAAGATGGAAGATCCTACAGGATAGGAAAGAAAAAGGGGGTATGGCACCCCAAAAAAGCCAGAATAAGATGGAAGATCCTACAGGATAGGAAAGAAAAAGGGGGTATGAGCGTACCAAATTGGCTTTTGTATTATAAAGCGGCCACCCTAGTATGGATAAAGATTGGCTTATGTTAGATAACAAAAGAACCTTGAAAGGCACTATCTAGCCACGGGATGGCACGCGTATGTATGGTAGGTAAAGACAAAATACATTCTAACTTTAATAGGCACGTGATAAGAGGATCATTAAACAAAGTATGGAATGAGATTAAACTGAGATTTTATAGAAAAACCCCGAGATGGGTGTCTCCAATAGAGGCGTTTATAAAACCTTCACTTACCTCCCAGAATATAAAAGGAACATATGAGGCCTTATTAGAAAAAGATAATAAATTAAAAGCGGAAAATAAATTGATTCGAGAAAATAACCTATCCTGGTGGGAGCACGTAGTATTACGAGATAGATACAGCAAAGATCTGGAAAGAGGGTTTGACCATGATAAAAATGAATTAGATAAAATTTGGTTGTCCTCGAATGACAAACTAATTCAGAAGTTGTATGGGTTTTTGTTGGATGATTTCGAAATAGATGAGAATATCAAAGAAGTTATGATATCTTGGATGAAAGTTCTGGGGAAAACCTTAGAGGAAAATCAGTGGTCGAAAATATGGAAATCAGTTAAATATATGAGAGCGGTTGCATATAAAGAGAATGTCTATAAAATGTTCCACAGATGGTATTGGTCCCCCGATAAATTAGCTAAATGTTATAGTAATGTAACCAATATATGCTGGAAATGTAAATCTAATGTGGGGACCTTTTATCACATGTGGTGGAAATGTAAAAAGATTCAAAAATATTGGGGTATGATGAACAAAGCTATACATGAAATCTTAGAATTGAACATAGATTTGAGACCAGAAATATTGTTGCTAAATATTGTCCCAGATGGATATAACCTCAAAGATGTATATCTTATAGTTTATATACTAACAGCAGCCAGAATGTTGTTGGCAGGGTACTGGAAACTAGAAGAAATACCCACTAAACTAGACCTAAGTTTAAAACTGTTAGAACTAGCACAAATGGACGATCTGAGTATAAAATTACAGGGGGAAAATAATACGGTACATAGTAATAGATGGAATAGGGTGTATGCATGGATAAATAAGTTGATGAATTGAAGAACTCTGAAAACTCTGTAATCTTTCAAGTTATTTTGTTTAATGAAAAATAAAATAAAAGTTAAAAAAAAACACGTATAAGACCAGTAGTCATGCTTGCCATACAGAGAATCCAGCCCAATGATGTAACTGGGTATGGCCAGTTATCAGTAGATGAAGAGAAGAAGAAGAGATTGGATTTATACCCCATGGCCCTTCACTACCCAAGGGAGTCTCAGAGCGGCTTCCAAACTCCTTTCCCTTCCCCTCCACACAACAGACAGACACCCTGTGAGGCAGGTGGGGCTGAGAGAGCTCTTGACAGAAACAGCTCTTTTTCAAGAACAGCTCTTGCCCAAGGGCATCCACCAGCTGCAAGTGGAGGAGTGGGGAATCAAACCCGGTTCTCCCAGATTAGAGTCTGCGCACTCAACCACGACACCAAACTGGCTAGATGGGAGATTGCAACCCGGGGGGGGGGCATATGTGGACGCCCACTGCCTTGGCCAAAGGCCTGGTGGAAGAGCTCCGTCTTGCAGGCCCTGCGGAATGGCATCCGATCCCGCAGGGCCCTGATCTCCATAGGGAGCCTTTTCCACCAGGTGGGGGCCAGGGCGGAGGAAGCCCTGGTTGAGGCGAGGCGGACGTCCCTTGGGCCAGGGATTGCCAGGAGATGTTGGCTCTCAGAGCGTAAAGCTTTCCGAGGCGTATACGGGAAGAGGCGGTAGCAAAAGAAAGACGTTGCAAATCCCAGTTTCAGTGGACTGAAAGACATGGTCTCCAAATGTCCGTAAAGCAAGTGCACCCCCTTCTTGAGACTTGAGATAAACGATGTAAAAGTACGCCGCAGTCAGCGAGTAGATCCTGTCCTGGGTGCGGGGCCAGGGACCGGCCAGCTTGTCGACCGTCACGTCACCTCTCGAAAGCGTAGACCCCAAGGGGGAAACCTACTCTTCCATCCCACCACCCTTGGAAGGCGGGAAGTGCCGGGGAGAGTTCTGCAGGCCTGTGAGGCTCCAGGAGGGAAGAGGGTACAGGAGGGGGGTAGTGCGGAGAGGAACAGAAACCTTCTGCCACCCCAGACAAACAATGCAGAAGAGGATTCCTCTTCGGCCATGCCCACAGCTGTACTCAGTTGCCCCACTGTTATGAGATCGGTGGTGCGGGTAGCCGCGGTACATTGGGGAGTGTGATACCTTGCGAGAGTGGGGCGTGTGTGGATTTCGTGCGCACCCATCAGACCGTTGCAGGAAAAGGGGTAGACCGTAAAGACTTCAATCTGTACGTTTTGATCAAGCTTCTGCAGCTCAATGTGTTTATTAAAAAAAAAATTGTATCCCACCGTTCTTGGTGGTTCAAGGCAGTGACTGTGTCTCTAAAAATCTCAAAAAGGTAGGAACACCAGAAGGAGCCCTGCTGGATCAGACCAGTGAGGGTCCATCTAGTCCAGCCTCTTGTCTCGCACAGGGGCCAGCCAGTTCCTCTGGAGATCCAACGGCAGGGAACAGAGGCCGAGGCCTTCCCCTGAGGAGAACATCAGAAGAGCCCTGCTGGATCTGACCAGTGAGGGTCCATCTAGTCCAGCCTCTTGTCTCGCACAGGGGCCAGCCAGTTCCTCTGGAGATCCAACGGCAGGGAACAGAGGCCGAGGCCTTCCCCTGAGGAGAACATCAGAAGAGCCCTGCTGGATCTGACCAGTGAGGGTCCATCTAGTCCAGCCTCTTGTCTCGCACAGGGGCCAGCCAGTTCCTCTGGAGATCCAACGGCAGGGAACAGAGGCCGAGGCCTTCCCCTGAGGAGAACATCAGAAGAGCCCTGCTGGATCTGACCAGTGAGGGTCCATCTAGTCCAGCCTCTTGTCTCGCACAGGGGCCAGCCAGTTCCTCTGGAGATCCAACGGCAGGGAACAGAGGCCGAGGCCTTCCCCTGAGGAGAACATCAGAAGAGCCCTGCTGGATCTGACCAGTGAGGGTCCATCTAGTCCAGCCTCTTGTCTCGCACAGGGGCCAGCCAGTTCCTCTGGAGATCCAACGGCAGGGAACAGAGGCCGAGGCCTTCCCCTGAGGAGAACATCAGAAGAGCCCTGCTGGATCTGACCAGTGAGGGTCCCTCTAGTCCCGCCTCCGGTCTCACACAGGGGCCAACCAGTTCCTCTGGAGATCCAACGGCAGGGAACAGAGGCCGAGGCCTTCCACAATGTTGCCTCCTGGCTCTGGGATTTAGAGGTTGACTGCCTCTGAACATGGAGGTTTCCTACAAGAACATCAAAGAGCCCTGCTGGATCTGACCAGTGAGGGTCCCTCTAGTCCCGCCTCCGGTCTCACACAGGGGCCAACCAGTTCCTCTGGAGATCCAACGGCAGGGAACAGAGGCCGAGGCCTTCCCCTGGTGCTGCCTCCTGGCTCCATGACTGAGAGGTTGACTGCCTTCTGAACATGGAGGTTCCCTTTAGACACCATGGCCAGTAGCTGTTGGTAGACTTTATCCTCCATGACTCTGTCTATTCCCCTTGTGAAGTGATTATTCCCGTGGCCATGACTAAATCCTCTGGCAGCTCTATTTCTATGGATGCAGCCACATATATGTGGCCGTGCAGCAAGTTGGGGGAAAGGGAGGAACGAGGGCAGAGCAGGGGCTTGTGGGAAATCGGTCTCAGGGAACACAAGAAGGGGATGTGGGGGGGAGCAGTGTTCCCTCTCTGACGAGTGAGTGTGAGCTAGCTCCACAGATGTTTGGCCTCCGGCTCGCTCGCAACTTGAATGCCAGCAGCTCACAAAGTAGAATTTTTGCTCACAAGACTCCACAGCTCAGAGGGAACGCTGGCAGGGAGCTATTCTGGGAGTGGCCGCAGCTCAGCGAGTAGATCCTGTCCTGGGTGCGGGGCCAGGGACCGGCCAGCTTGTCGTCCGTCACGTCACCTCTCATGGTGTGCTGCCAATGCATTTGATCGCATTGTGGCGGGGCTATTTGTGCCGGCGCAAATAGCCACGCCTCCCCCCCTCCTCTCAACAATTACAACTAGCCAAAAAGCTGAAGAACGTGTAATGGAGAATGATGTATACAAAGCCGCCACAAGGAAAAAGTACAAAATGTAAACCGTGGAGAACGGGTCTGTGCCATGTGCAAAATGCGGCAGCCAGGCTGCTGATGGGTCTCTCTGTTCGAGACCACATCCAGCCTGTGCTGAAGGCCCTGCACTGGCTGCCAATAGCATACCGGATCCGTTTCAAGGTGCTGGTTGTGACCTTCAGAGCCGTATATGGCCGGGGGCCTGCCTACCTGAGGGACCGCCTTTCCCCACACGTGCCCCAGAGAGCACTGCAATCAGGCTCACAGAACCGCCTGACTCTTCCGGGCCCGGGAAACGTCAAGTTGGCTGCTTCTAGAGCCGGGGCCTTTTCAGTGGCGGCTCCACACCGGTGGAATGAGCTCCCGGATAACATCAGGGCCCTGCGGGACCTCCTGCAGTTCCGCAGGGCCTGCAAAACGGAGCTCTTCCACCAGGCTTTCGATTAGGAGCCGTCCCAATGAGTGGGCCACCGGCGAATGCGCCACCGGCGAATGCGCCACCGGAATACACCTCGGCCCGCATGAAACATCGGTTGGTTATTGCCTCTGTTTGTACATTGTATGCCGCCATCATCGTCAGTACTGTTCAACTGCTTTGGCAGTTGTATCTATGCTCGATTGTATTTTAATGTATTTATTGTTTTAGTGTTTTTAACGTCGTTAGCCGCCTTGAGCCAGTTCTGTGACAAGGCGGGATACAAATTGAAATAATTAAATAAACAAAATAAATACAATGGAGAACTGCTAGATAATTTGACGTTGTGTCCGGATGTTTGAGAACAGCATTTCGAAGTTCATCCTTCATCGGGGCGTTCCCTTGTCAGCCGCTGTGGTTTTTGCACCCGTACCGACACGCATCGGGCACAGCCTGTGAACAGTTCGATACAGAATCGGACGCCAGTCTCCCACATGTAAAAGGTAAAGTTTCCCTTGCTCGAAAGCCAGTCGAATCCGACTCTAGGGTTGCGGTGCTCATCTCCGTTTCCAAGCCGGAGAGCCAGCGCTGTCCGAAGACGTTTCCGTGGTTATGTGGCTGGCATGACTAAACACCAAGGCGCATGGAACGCTGTGACCTTCCCACCGAAGTGGTCCCTATTTATCTACTTGCAATTTCTTGCTTGCGAACTGCTAGGTTGGCAGGAGCTGGAACTAGAGACGGGAGCTCACTCCGTCATGCGGCACACTCGGGTCTCGAACTGCTGAACTAATGACCTTCCACAGCCTGCAGTTCAGCGTCTTAACCACTTGAGCCACCGCACATGTAGTCGGCTTCAATAGCTTCAGACTCGCAGCGGGACCGGCAGCTTCGTATACATCATTCCCTATGACACATTCTTCAGCTTTCGGGCCAGTTGTAGTCAATATTCCCTCTAAGCTGTTGAGCCTTGTGAGCAAAAATTCTACTTTGTGAGCTGCTGGCATTAAAACTGAGCGAGAAATTTGGCAACCGTATAAATTAGTTTGCTCTGGAGCTGTTCTTCCTGAGCTAAGACAAAAATGTGTGAGCCGGAGGCTTAGAAAACTGAGCTGGCTCACACTGACTCAGCTTAGAGGGAACACTGGTTGTCGTCGCCGAGAGTCTGTTTTACGACACTCGTTTCTTGTCTTCTGTTACCATCACGCCGCTGGGAGGGGGCACTGGAGCTGAGCCAGGGAGGCAGGCCCGGACTGGGGACCTGCGGGGCCTTCTGTGTGTGGGGCCCTTCTCACCCCTCCCTCTCTCCCTCCCTCCCTCCCTCCGCCGGCAGGTTTGCCAAGCTGCTCCTGCGTCTGCCGGCGCTGCGTTCCATCGGGCTGAAGTGCCTGGAGCACCTCTTCTTCTTCAAGCTCATCGGGGACACCCCTATCGACACCTTCCTCATGGAGATGCTGGAGGCCCCCCACCAGCTGTCTTGACCCCACCACCACGACCACCACGCCAGAGAGTCAGCCGGGAGGGGGGGACCCCCCGCAGGAACACGAGCCCTGGATCCGCACCCTCGGGACCGCCCCCCTTCTTCGACGCAGCCGACGCACACACACCCCTCAGACGTCCTGCTTCCCGGCCCCCCGCCCTGGCCAGACCCTTCAGAAGAGATATGGGGGCGGGGGGCAGAAGTTTCCTCGGACAGCAGGGCTTTTGCAGCGCGGGAAGGCAGGAGCCCCCTCTTCTCGGCTCGCGTGGAACATTTTTTTTTGGGGGGGGGAGTCTTATCTGGATTGTCTTTGCCCCCAAAGCGCACCCCGAGTGCGAGGGTTCGATCGGAGGAGGAAGAGGCTGCCCCGTGTGTGGGGGGGGTTGGGGGGAGGCTGCCCGCTCACACTCCGCCCGCCACCCATGCTCAGAAATCA